CCACCCCCGCCCGGTGCAGCAAGAAGCTGTCGGTCCCCTAGCGAGGTTGAGCCTGCCGAACCCTGCTTAGGGTTGATGTGTTACCTCCCAAGGCTAGGGATTCCCCCTCCCCCCGGGTCCTCTTTTATTATAAATACATTGTCTTTCGGTTTAGGGTTTTAGTTTTTACTTTTCTGATTTTAGATTTTTGCCCAGCTTGTTATCGACAGCTGCCCCCTAGGGTTGTATCTGAAGGTGAAAAGGTGTTTCAGATGTAACTCGTCTGAGGTGGTGATTTTCTCCAAGGGTTTGAGTGTTGCTCCAGCTATAGCTCGATCCCGTGGGAATCTTTATCTTTACCCAACTCTTCTGCAACCTTTTTTAGCCATCCCTCTCGTTGTCGCAGTCCCCAGATAGACCTCCCTCTGCTGTCTAGTGCCACTAGCCGACCCTCTAGCTGCTTCCCCCCTCCGCAGAGCCTTCTCATCTTTTGTTCCCCTGTCGTTGACCCTTTCAACTTACTGTTTCCTGGCCTCTGTACCCTCTTTGTCCCCTATCTTCTTGTTGGCACCCCTCCCAACTGTTATTCCCCTTGTTGGCTACTCATACGTTTTGTCCTTTGTCTCCCTCTATCTGTTGTCATTTGTCACGAGGTCACCCCTTATGGCCGCCTTCCGTCCACTTCAAATTCAGCCCTAGTTGGGTATTAGTGTTGTGTGTTGGTTGTTGCCTTTCCTTTTTTGTTTTAATTGTGTAAACGCATATTCATTTTGAGTAATAACATTTATTTTTCATTGTGGTTTGGGTTAAATATGGTATCATTTGGTGGCTTGGGGTTGAATTGGCCCCAACAAATTCAACAAGAAGTTGCGGTTCAGTTGGGAGATTGAACCGACCGAACTCTGCTAAGTGAGTGTTGCTACCTGGGGGGGGGTTCCCCATCCGGTTCCCCATCCTAGTTACCTTTTATTGTAAATACATTATTTTTAAGTTTAGGGTTTTAGTTTTTACTTTTTTACTTTTCTTATTTCATATTTTTGTCTAGATTGTTGTCAGTGACTGTTTTATTGTAAATAACTAAGGGGGTTCCCCATCCTAGTTACCTTTTATTGTAAATACATTATTTTTAAGTTTAGGGTTTTAGTTTTTACTTTTTTACTTTTCTTATTTCATATTTTTGTCTAGATTGTTGTCAGTGACTGTTTTCCCTTCGTAGGGTTGTATTCGGAGGAGAGAATGTGCTCCGACTATAACTCGTCTGAGGCAGTGACCGTTTCCTAGAATTCAAGATGTGCTCTGGCTATAACTCAATTCGACAGAGATATTTTTCTTTACCCAAACCTTTTGTAACCTTTTTAGCCATCCCTCTCGCTGTCGTCGTCCCCAGACAGACCTCCCTCAGCTGTTCAGTGACACCAGCCGCCCCTCTACTTGCTTCTCCTGTCGTTGATCCTCCCCGCTTGTTGTTCCCTTGTTGAACCCCTCCAATCTGCGGTTTTTTGGTCGATGAACCCTTCTAGTCCACTATCTCCCTACCGTCGCCCCTAGAACCTGCCATTCCCTTGCCGAAAACTCCCCATAGTTGCCATCCTTTGTCTCCTAGCTCTCCATATGTTGCCCTTTGTCATCAGATCACCCAACCACCTTCCTTTTTCAACAATAGCCCCTTATGACTCCCTTCCTTCCACCTCAAATTCAGACTTAGTTGAGTATTAGCTTTGTGTGTTGGTTGTAGTCTTTCTTTTTGTTGTAATCGTGTTACCGCGTATTCATTTCGAGTAATAACATTTATTTTCTGTTGTGGTTTGGGTTAACTCCTGTATTTTTTGGTGGCTTGGGGTTGAACCGGCTCCAACTGGTTCAACAAAAAGTTGTTGGTTCAACAAGAAGCTATCGGTTCAAAAAGGAGTCATGTCGCCCAATGGGAGGGGTCCCCTCCTCCTAGTACTTTTTTATTATAAATACATTGTTTTTCTGTTTATGGTTTTAGTTTTTATTTTATTTTTTTTTCTAATTTCTGTTTAGCTTGTTGTCGACGACTATTTTTCCCTTCAAGACTATATCTGAAGGCGAGAATGTGCTCTGGTTGTAACTCATCCAGGGTGGAGACCTTCTCTAAGGGTTCGGGTGGTGCTCCAGTAGTAGCTCGATTCTGCAATCTTTTCAGCCATCCCTCCTCATTGTCGCCTTCCCCAAACGACCCTCCCTTTACTGTCCAATGCTACCGACTGCCCCTCTACTCGCTTCCCTTGTTGTTGAACCTCCCCACCTGTTGTTCCATTCTCGCCGACACTTTCAATCTTCTATTTCCTGACCTTTGAACCCTCCTAGTCCACTATCTCCCTGTCACCACCCCTCCAACCTGCTATCCTCTTGTCGCTAACTCCCACTCCCCATACCTATTGTCCTTTCTCTCCCAGTCCTTCATCTGTTGTCCTTTGTCACCATATCAACCAACAACCATCCTTTTCCCCTCCACAACCCCTCACTGCCGTGTCCCGTCCACCTCAAATTCAACCCTTGTTGGATATTGGCGTTGTGTGTTGGTTGTTGTCTTTCATTTTTCATTGCAATCATGTGACTGCGCATTCGTTTTAATAACGTTTATTTTTCGTTGGGGTTTGGGTTAATGTCAGTATCATTTGGTATCAAAGATAGTCTAACCATAGTCATATCCTAAGGTTTCCTAGCATCTACCCCAACCTAAGCCACCCCCACAAAAAATTTTCTTCCCAAATCATAACCAAATTTCGACCGAACCCTAGTTTTCAATTGTTGATTTTCAAAATCACCAATTTGAAATAGCTTTTCTTCACCCACAATCAATCTACTACACCAACTTTCATCTCCCAAAACCTAAAACCTAGCCATGCCACTAAGGATTCAATAGCTGGAAGCTGGATTGAGGGGAAAAGACACGATATCGTTTATGAGAAATTCACACAGAGGGTCCAAGAGATTTATAGGGAAGATATTTTGTAGGAAACCCGCCAACGACAATAGATGCTTGCCACTTTTAAGAGTTGACAATCTAGCCGTAGTCACAACGGTAACTTGCTAGATCGAAGACATTGAGTGAATCTCTTCCACCATGCTGATTCCATGGATGAAGAACCTCTACTTCGAAGATTTGACCTGGATTATCTGAAAAGTCAGAATTGAGAAGTAACGGTGGACTTATTATATTTTGACGACCACATAGATCCGGATGAGGTTGTCAAATGGCTTTGGATTGTGGAATGTGTTTTTGAGTGTTTGGAGGTCCCACCGGACGGAATTGTGAAACTAGCTGCCAACAAGTGAAAGAAAAGTGCATTATTTTTGGGGCAACATCTGAAGTCCATAAGCCAGCGAGAAGGAAAAGATAAAATTAATTTTTGGTCCAAGTTGAAGGGGAGATGTAGCGCTAGTCTCTATTAGCTTACTATAAACAAAATGTTCCAACCCTAGCTTCAGAAGTGGAGTGATCACATCATCGGGCGACCACCACTCCTTATAGGCAAAGTTCAATCACATGATCGTATAGTCAGAGCACACCCAGGGGAACATCCAAGACAATCCCGTCTGAGGAGAAGTTGATTCAGAGGAGAGAACAGGTGGAACCATTTTGTATTCTTAAATCCATCCCAACCAAGAAGTGCTCTAAGCCCACAAGTTTTGGCACATTGAATCAGATTGCACAATCAGGAGAGTGGTTACTTTCACTGATCATAGAACAGCTGAAGAAATAAACGCTGATTAGAGAGAAGATGAAGATTTTAGAGAGGATTCAACTTTCAGCCTCTAGGAGAGATTTCAGCTGAGATATCAATTGTTAATCTAGAAGGTAATGACTGATGTAATGGGCGAGCCTGTAGAGTATGAGATTGTGATGTATTGAGCTATCATTTTGCAGGGGTTGAGTGGAGCATCAATAGAATTACCTTTGGATGTCCAAAAGGGTTATGAGTTTGAGAAACCGGTATCATTCTTGAGTTGCTCTACTGATGGACGTCCAGTATGTCAAAAATGGGTCATTTTGTTCCATGTCTAAAAGATTATATGAAGTTATTCAGATGTTAGATTCAGTTTAGCATGGAGCCCATCATTTGACGTGGGATGAACCCCATCTTTGAAATTGTTCTTAAAAGCTTGATGGGGAAGAAATTCTTTAATGGGATCCAGGCTCTAGTAGTGAATAATAGGTCTCTCTTAAGTAGTAGTTAGTGAGAGTATGCGGTCTGCCACACATTTCACCCCAGAGTTGATTTCTCCTCACTTATTAATTTATCAGCTACATTCTGTCGAGTACGAGAAGGGGAGGAAGAATGTTTTAAACTTAAAGGCTCAAGAGTTACATTGCAGAAACATATATCTATATGCAGCTTCAGCTCAGGATGTGCTTAAAGTTGGTTCATATTTATTTTATCAAGACATGTTGTGGAATGACAACACCTACATGATCGACCTAATAACTACAACATTTCTGTCACTTTCAACATGACAAACTTGACTTTGTGGTACGAGGAGTCAGAAGTTTCAACGAATGAAGTCGAAGCTCCTCCAATCTCGGGTCATTGACACAGGGGCTTGGGGCTGAACCTGTTGAACCCTGCTGAGGGTTTGGAGTGCTGCCACCCAACTGAAGGGGTTCCCCTTGCCTAGTTATTTTTATTATGAATACATTGTTTTTCTGTTTATGGATTTACTTTTTACTTTAATGATTTCAGATTTTGTCTAGCTTGTTGTTGGCATTTGTTTTTTACTTCTAGGGTTGTATTTGAAGGCGAGAAAGTGCTCTAACTGCAACTCTTTCGAGGTTGCAAAATTCTCCCAAGTGTTCTAGCGGTGCTCCGATTGTAGCCTGATCCCGCAAGAATGTGTTTCCTTACCTAACCCTTCTGCAACCTTTTCAGCCATCCCCCCTCGTTGCTTAAATTCTTTCATCGAACCATGCTTCGTATGGTTTGGGTTAACTCCGACATCACCATACTTCAGAGATTAAATGCTTAAATACTTATATTGAGCCAAAGTTTATCATTACTAAAGTTCAAGTATGGTGGTGTTGTATATTATAATCAAGTTGTATTTTTACTGTGCAGGAATTTTGTTTGTTTTCACTTTTGAAACCTTTTTATGTATTTATTTTGAAATTTTTTGTTTCAAATTAAGGCAATGTAGCTGGAAAAATACTTTTGCAAAGCATTTGTATATATGGTATTTAAACAACATTGTACACTGGTGCCCTATACAAAATCTCACTTAGTTGTTCCTTCTTCATGCAATGATAATTGTTGATAAAATGTGTTAAAAAATCCTTAAATGGATCATATATTTTACCTATAGCTTGAACTATTTAATAGGATTCTTCAAATTGGTGCGAAAAGTATGCATGGCTACTGAAATCATATTATGTCTAGGTAACCACCATTTTTGGGAAGTTAAGCTATTTTTGAGAAAATTGGCATTGAATTTCTATTTTTGTTTGGTTGCAGTGAAATTCATTTTATGATCTTATAAATTAATCTTTCCTTATTTTATTACGATGGTTAAAATTAATACTAACTCATAACCTCATTAATTTATTATTATTCCATCTTTATTAGAAAAAGGTAAAAGCATAATTGAAGTTTGACTTTCCCATCAAAATGGAAACTCATTTTTCACTTTTTTTAATATGAGTTTTAAAAATGAGAGCTCATCTTTATATATTGTCATCTAAATCTAATCAAATGCTATAATTAACTTTGAAAGTGAGAATTTCTCCCTCCCTGGATCTATCTTTTTAGTCCCATATTCTTTCTTATCCACTATTAGCATTTTTCAAGCTCAATCAGTTTTTTTTTTAAGTAGCAATTGATAACAGTTTGGTTGATATGCATTCCCTGTATGTTTTTTAGGGAGTATTTATGAGAAGCATGCCTTTGAGGTACACTTTAATGGTGGCGCAACATTTCATTATCGCTTTTTTGTAAAGCTATCTTTTAATTATATTCATGGTTATTATGATTTTAGGATGGCACAACCTCCTCCGCTCTTTACTTAGCATGGTTGTTACACATCTGTACTTCTAAACCCTTCTCACATTCTCAGGTTTATGCAATAGAAGCCAGTGATATTGCTGCGCAGGTAAAAAAGCTCAATTTTATATATGCCTCTATGATATTTTGCACAATTGTTTTATGTGATTACGCGTGAATCTGTCATATATTTTAAATCTGAATGGATTTTTGTTTAAATAAATTCTTGTACACTCTTTTATGATTTGGAATACTCCTTAATATTTATGAATTATTTTGTTCAAGAAAGAAAAAATTTAAGTTGGGAATCTTTCCGGCTGACTATCTGTCTATCTGTTCCCGTATTAGTATTCCAAGCTCTTGGCTCTAGTCGTGACTGAACTGATATTTTGAAGTGTTAATTTTGATGACAACAAATAAATTTGATACCAATTAAACTAAAATGATGTAATATACCTAGATTGTGTAAGGAGATCTTGGATTTGTGGATCGAAGTTTGTGTACTATGCAACAAAAAAGAAAAAAAAACTAGTTTTTTTGGGCACAAAACATGCAAGTACAAAAATTAGAAACTCAAGGAAAAGAATCAAGAAGAAATTTGAGCAACACAAAATTAGCTTGTAATTGTAATTTACGCATTAGATTAAAAATTAACCAATAAATGAAATCATCGATTGATTATACTTCCAATGATAATAAATGCATAGATTCTCATCAGTCACCTTCCTCGCTTACCCTACCTTCCACCCTCTTTCCTATTGTCAATGCAATTTTTAGCCTCTTTCTCACTTTCGAACCTAATTCACTAAATGAAAACCTTTTATTTTTTGACAATTTCATAATGAAAGAGGCATAAAAGATTTTACATTCAATGAGATTGGCCATTGCTGGTTGCTTATGGAATGACCTGAGTGGCTTATTTTATATTCAAGCTTCTTCTAATTTGCTCTCTTTTTCGGGTGCTGCTGTTCTCAAGTAAATTTTATAGTTGACTACTGGAATGTCTTGGTATGCTATTCTCAACTTTTTGGACAGTAATATACTTAGTTTTCTCCTTATGTAATTCTGTCTTAACACTTACGTTTGAAATCATCCTTGTTTTCCTTTGACTATAAAGTTGTCCGATTTATTCTTGCGTTGAACGTGAGGCTGTTTTGTGTATTTACCAGGCCAGTGAAGTTGTCAGTGCAAATAATTTATCTGACAAGGTTATTGTCATTCATGAAAAAGTGGAGGTAAATTTTATTCTTGCAAATCTTATTCTTGTTTGTATGTTTTAAGAATTTCGAGAGTGCTTATCTTTAAGAATTTTCATTGAACACACATCTTGTCTTAATAAGTTTTGTTTTTATGGTACTGTTACTAAATTTTATTCTGATATTTATGTAGATTTGGAGTCTGGTGGAATTGTGAGAAAACTATGATTCTGGCTTAGTTTTTGGTTCTTCTATTGTTTGCTATTTTCCATATTTTTGGCCAGTTTGAACTTTGCAACAAGCCTTAAAACATTTGGCTTAGCATTCAGAGGAAAATATATGCCTGTCCTAATCAACTTCGTCATGGAATGTTCCTATGAAGAATAGAGTAGTCAACATCTCTCATATTTTATAACTTCATAACAACCTCAAACGGTATTGGGTAATCCGTATGAATTCTTGTTTAGCATTTAAGTTACTTAAAATTTTCACGGTTGCATGCATATTTCAGGATTTCAGTGAATTTTGAGTATAAGGATTTCTAGCCTAATGCTTTATGAACTTGAATTTAATCATTGTGATCTTGGTTCTAAGATTTGACAATCAGTCGCACAAGCAAATAAATCACTAATTTTAGAGAAAAGGAAATGAGTAAGGATCAAAATCACCAAAAAAAAAAAAATCTTTCCTCGCACAGGTGCAAAGGTGCAAAGAGATGTTGGTTATGTTCTACAATTTAAGTGATCAAATGCGATGAGAAAAACAGGTGGTGTATATAGTTTAATGAATAATCGACTCGTAATGTCTTGTTCGCATAAATAAATAAATTAAAAAAAAAACACTTGGTTGTCATATATTTTGCAAATGGACTATCTCGATGAGTCCAAAATGTTGAAATAGTCTAATAAAAGACCCATGTGCTGCTTGAGTTGTGTGAGGGAAGATCAAAATTTTGGCATTTTTTATGGATGAGGCTCTTATGGAATCCACCTAAAGCCTCCATGTGAACAATATATGAATAACATCGCATCCTTTAAAGTACCCTTCAATGTTCCGCATCATGACAACTGCACGCAAAGAGAGTTGCAATTTGTATATGAATAAAAAAGAAAGTGTTATTGAGGCATGGATCAGAAAGCATTTAACCAACCAAAATGCAACAAAATGCACACAAATAAAAAGTTGTGTACAAATTTTAATAACAACATTGCTGCCAACAAAGTCATGGAAAAGCAAAACTGATTTTTTTTTTTGCTGGCGGACATGCGATACAAAGAGGAAAAAATTTAAATTGAGGGGAGCCAAAAGCCACGTGGGCATAAAACACATCCAAAAGCATATGGATGTTTCGTGAGTGCACTGATTAACCAAGTAAAAGCAAAAGCAAATTTTCATGTGCATATCAACAAACTAGTTACTATCAAATTTGAAATTATAAAGACTCCAAAAGTGATATTGATACCGGAGTTAACTCAAACCACGACGCGGGACACAATTTTATTAAGGACTTAAAACAAGATTATTATGAATGCTCGAAATAACGAAAGACAACACAAAGCAAAAGCACAAAACAAAGGATTACAACTAATGACTCAACATAGAAGGTACAACCGCTTGATGAGGAGGGAGTCCGGCGAGGGGGGGGGTGCTGGATTAGCAGCTGCGGTCAAGGCTAGAATGGTGGGGCTGTTGTGGAAAAAGTAGGACAACAGATTGGCGATGGTAACGACGTCGAACCGCGGCTTGAGAAGAGCAGGAACGTCGTCAGATGCTGGATTGACAGCTACGGTGAAGGTTGGAGCGGTGGGGTTGCTATGGAAGCGGGAGTTACGGTGGCTGGATTCTGAAATGACAGCAGGGAAACAGAAATATGGTAAGATAAATGTCTCGTTGTGGTCGAGCTACAGCCGAAACACCGCTCGAACCCTTGGAGCGATCACCACCTCGGACGAGGAATGATCGAAGCACTACCTCGACTCTGGATACAACCCTCGAAAGGAAAATACCCAAGCTTAAACCTGAATGCGTATATCAAAAATAAGACCCCTAACTCTAAGCACATCATCATCTATTGATACTGAGGCTAGGACTTTATTTTAGGTAATACTTAAAATAAAAAAAAAAAGAATCAAATCAGGATTTCAGATTTAGCTGTGGAAATAAAGTGAGAAAATCATATTTTGGAAATGATAAATAAAGTAATCAAAATTTAGATTTTGGAAATGAATTAAAATAGGAAAGATTTTAAAATAAGAAATGAGAATAAATTATAATCAAGATTTTAGATTTTAGGAAAAAATTTTAAATAGGAAAATGCTAGGAAGGAAAGAAAGGAAAGGGGAAAGAGAAGGGGAAGGGAGGAGCGGCAATCCCCTCCCTTTGTCGATCCTCCATAGCCCCCGTGCCAGCCTCCTGGGGTTGGGAGAGCTTCGACGCATAGGTCGAAGCTTCTATGTCGTTGTCAACCACCCCTTGATCCCACTGGCGACTAACCATCTATCAAAGCATTCGAGGAGTTTTTCCCACATGCGAGCATACCTCATTATCTCTTCGTTCTGGTATGGCATACTTTGAGTCGGAGGTGCACCACCACGTTGGTTCTCTTGAGCCAAATTCCGAATAAGTAAATATCTCATATGTTTCCATTTATGACAAGTTGGGCCTCAGCGAGATTCAGGATTTGCAAGAGTCTGGTTGATGGGTGATTCTTATTTTCTTTTGAGTTTTCCCTCTGACCCTTGAAGTTTTGGAAAACTGACATCTTTCATTGCGTTTCAATAACAAGAGCTTCATGCTGGTCTTTTGTTTCTTCATATGGAACACTGGAGGTGAGAGATAGAAGTGTAGCCGCCTATGATGCTATCAGTTGGTCGTTACGAAGACCATCCATTGAAATTTAAAATTCTGATATATTTTGGTTTGCATGATTTTTATGTCTCAACAAAAAGTTCATCTTCTAGGAGAGCATGAATCACAATCTCATCAAAAGTCGCATGATTCTTTTGATCATATGGAGAAAAAGCAATGGATGTAACCTCGAACAATGGAGTTCCTCGGGGAAAATGTCATCGGATGAAAATTTTCGTTTGAACTACTCTTCAGTGTCTGCGGTGTCGTTACCCAACTTTTCGATGACACCCAGTTTTGTGAAGTAAATCACTCCCCTGGTTGTGCATTATGCTTCAACATGTCCAAACCCGTGACACTTGGAACATCTTCTGGCTATGATAGACTTGCAAATTAGTTTTGTTGGATAGTAGCAAGAGGGTAGCTTGTTGATGTAATCTCCACTTCGGAAGCTAGAGTTCGCAACTTTTGGTGGTTATAAGTTGGTAGGAGCTGGTGTAGTTTTTCCGCTTCATCTTCATATTTTTTTCAATTTTCTAAAACACGTCGAGAGTAACCTCCTACTAGGTTTCCTCTTCAATATACATAAGCATTTGCTGCGTTCGCTGAAAACGACGGAGTTCTCTTCGCATCTTGTCCCGGGTTGGCTCGGGCATACTTCTCCTTGGCGGCATGGTTGACGGTTTGAGATCTATTGAAGGAAGGAAAAGAAGGAACAAAGAAGGAAGAGAAAAAATAAACAAAAGAAAGGAAAAAAATTTTTGGTGTGGTGGATTGGGTAGGGGCGGACGCTAGAAAACCCTAGGATGGGACTAAGGTTAGGCTAGCTCTGATACCAAATAATACCAGAGTTAACTCAAACCACGATGCATGACATAATTTTATTACGAAGTTAAAATAAAGTTACAGTAAATACTCGAAATAACGAAGGACAACACACAAAATGAAGGATTACAACTAATGACTCAATAAAGAAGATGCAATCGCTTGATGAGGGAGTTTGGCCAGGCGAGAGGCTGGATTGGCGGTTGTGATGTAGACTGGAGAGGTGGGGCTGTTGTGGAAGAAGTAGGACAGTAGATTGGCTATGGTAACAACTTCGAACTGCAACTGGAGAGTAGGAAGGTCGTTGAAGGCTAGATTGGCGGTTGTGGTGAAGGTTGTAGAGGAAGGCTATTGTAAAAGCGGGGGTTGCGTTGGTTGGATTATGAAATGGTACACGGAAGCGGAGGTATGGTAAGATAAATGCCTCGTCAAGGTAGAACTACAGGCGAAGCACTACTCGGACCCTTGGAGAAATCACTATTTCAGATGAGGATCAGTCGGAGCACTACCTCGACGTTAGATACATCTCTCAAAGGGAAGATGTCAAGGCTAAAACCTGAATTTAGATATCAAAAATAAGACTACTAACCCTAAGCACATCATCCTTTATTTATAATGGGCTAGGATTTTATTTCCGGCAATACTTAAAATAAGAAAGAAGAATCAAATCGGGATTTCAGATTTGGTAAGGAAGTAAAGTGAGGGAATATCAAATTTAGGGAAGGGTAAATGAAATAATCAAAATTCAAATTATGGAAATGACTTAAAATTGGAAAAGTTTTAAAATAAGAAAAGAGAATAAAATATAATCAGGATTTCATATTTTAAGAATGGATTTAAAATAGGAAAGTGCTAAGTAGGAAAGAAAGGAAAGGGAATAAAGGAAAGGGGAATAGAGGAGCGGCATCCCCTCTTCCCATGGAGGACTGGTCGGGTCCTCCATAGCCTCCGAGTTAGATATGATTGGTCTTTGATAAGAATCTCACTCAAATGACATTTGGTTTGAAAGATGTGTTATTTTTTTAAAAAAATATGAAATTTCATCTTATTGGTTTACAACTTGTGTTGTGTGCACGCACGCATTTAAGCACGTTGAAAAAAATAGAGATGCTCGTAGTTTATGAGATTTTTAATAAAAAATTATAAATGAAAGAAAAGTGGAAAGCTAAAAATTTTAACTATAAAAGTAAATACACAAAATTATATATATATTATGCATCCTTAGGTCATCTCATCTCATGCTCATTTGGCGGCATGTAAATTCTATGTTTTCACTTGTAAAATTAGAACAGCTCATTAAAGCTCCTGAAGTTGGTATTGATTGCAAACACTAGGAATAGAAGCGATTTGTTGTGGCCCACTCTATC